TACTTTGCTTTAATAAATATAAACAATATTTTTACAAAACTATTTACATTCAACAAAAAAATGTGATCCATACTAGCAGTGGGGCGTCGGACAGTCAGTCTCATCACTATGGTGATTGGTCTTCACAAATGTATCACCATGAAATCAAGTACAGATATTCCCCAGAGGAATTATTCTAATACGTTTTGGTGATCTATTTTAGAGCAGTAATCTTTATGAAATGAAAATCCTTTTTTTTATATTTGCTGAAACTTTCACAACATCCTGAACATTGTTTCATAGATTTTCTGTCTCATGTACTACTGTCAGGATAGAGTCAAAGTTCAGGCAAATATGACAAAAAGTTTATTTTCATAAAAGTTATCCACTGCAGCTTTAAACCAACGCGTCCCACCTTTCCCTCCTGGCCGTCCTTCCAGTAGGTGATGTTGTAGGTGGCGTAATTGTAAACATTCCTGAGTGTTGAGACAGTGAACACTGGATCTTTAATGCTGACTTCGATCATAGCCCCGTTGGAGAAGAGAGAGACATTGGGTGAGCCGATGGTGGCTGAGGAAGAGAGCGAGAGAAGAGTGTGAAGACTGAGGTGCCCTTCAAGAGCTAACAAAGTTAAAGACTTGTGGCAAAAACAAAATCCATCAGAGACACAACAGGTGAAAAAAAAAGTGTTGCTTATTTACATTAAGACAATTCTTTTGTATTGCAAATTTTCTGAATTCTATCTGTTGTCTATCTGATGTATCTGCCAATATATCCTTCTAAATGTTATATACTGGACCTTTAAATATGCAAACAATGTATAAGCTTATCAACTATGCACTAGTTTGTATACATTTGTAGAACATAAATGTGATAATTGAACAGAGCTAAGTTAATAATTCTTGTTTCATTTTTTTCGATTTGCCATGTTTTTAGGAATAAAATGTTATATAAATCAGGCTATGAATGATATTTGAACAAAAAATCTTTGTAAAAAACCTTAAGAATATAGACAGGAATGAAACTGGAAGGTTTGGTGTGTGTGAGTGCTGCTGAAGTGCAGATGTCTGGCCAAGGGTGTGAAAAAAAACTCATATTGAGAAAACGACCTTTAGGGCTATGTGATGTAAAGTCCCATACAGACACTGCAGGTGAATAGGGGAAATAATGGCTATAACCACAAAACTTCCCCAGTTTATTACTTACATTTAGACAATTATCTTTTGTATTACAATTTTTTGAAATATAATGTTGAAATATGCAAATGAGGCATTACCTAATGTTAACTTTTGGTGAATTTTAGGGCAATTTAACGTGAACGGACAACGTATAGAAAGACTTTAATATGTATTTAGGGGTGATTTCTTTCCATTAGTCTGAAAGAAGACCGTCCACAATCTCAAACTTATCTAGCGCATTAAAAACAATGTTTTTGCCCTTAGTATCTAATTTATCTAATAATTTATTACAAGATATGATTATCAGAGAAGATCGCCTATATTTGCTTAGAAAACAATCTTATAATAAAGAATTATCACACATGCAGTGTTTTGAAGTGAAAGGCCATGAAACACAGGGAGTTTCCACTCACTATACTTGTCCAAGGTTATCGGGTGACTTTCCACCCAATCGGAGCTCTCTGCCCCCAAGTGCGCCCGGACTCTGCCGAAATACTTTCCATACTGACTGATGGATTTGCTGAGGGCGGTGATGTCACATTCACAGTAGGAGATGTTCACACATGCTGTTACGTACCCTAAGGCTGTGGATCTGTGGACAAAACACAGTACTGGTATTACAGATCTGCCATCTCACTTTCAGTTTCAGGTGTACATCATACACATACAAAATGAATGGCAGTGCGACTGTGGTCCTGACAGCGAGACAGTGTGTGTTTGTGAAAGTGTTACTGTCTGTAAATTCTTTTGAGTCAAAAGGTAGTAGTGTGGCATGCTGTAAAAAAAACCTTATATATAAATATGCCTAAAAGCCCCCTGACCCTAACACTTTTCTTACCACTTCATACTTTATTTTATAATTAAGAAACTTTCCGCTTTCAGCAGATGAATGTGAAAACACCCTTCCAGTGTCAAACTCTGCACAGACATTCAAACATCACACTGTAGGAACAAGACGAAAAGCATCCTTTAGTGGAGGGGGACTTAGTATTAATATTAAATACTACAGAATAAATAAAATCACCAAAACGGTAAATACCATAAGTCATAACCTTAACGGTAAACGTAAATGCAGAACTATGAGCTCATAGTTCTCACATTGTATCAAAAGTGTAATGTGTGTTTCATTATCATGAGTCAGTCGTAGTTCCCAGAAGAGAAGATACTTCTGTACAACACCACTCATAGTGTTAATAAGAGGAAAGTATCACTGGTCACAGTTTTCTCTGGGGAGTGTTACGGGGGGAGAGGGGCTCTACAGCTACAGTTTGTTTATCTTTGCGAGTTTGGCAGTTAGTTAAATTAAGCGTCTGATAAAAATCTGGCTGTTACACACAACCCTTCACCCCAAAGACACAAAGACTTTGCCAACCCTGAAGCCTCTCTAATCACATTTTCAATTGCAACCACACTGCCAGTCATACAGACTGCTTTGCCTGTAAGCGGTGTGATTGCAGCGCTTCAGAGAAACAGGAGTGAGTGATGGAGCATATATAGACAACTACTCATGCAAAACAGCATTTAACCAGCCTGGAGCTACTGTGTTTTCATCAGAAGAGGGAAATCTGCAAGTCATGGTAGACCGACTGAAACTTGATTTTGCTTTTAGTTGTGTAAATATCCACTGTAGCTTCTCACTGTCACTGTTGTATGCAGCTCTCCTAATTCAGATTAACTTAATAGTGAAAGAAGATGAACCCTAACCCTGACCCTCACCCTTGTGCCAATGAGTTGTCGGTTCATTTTGGTAACAGATTTATCTTTTAAGTCATTTTTTAAACCTAAAATGACCAAAATTCTCAAGTTGCAGCTATTTAAATGTGAATATCTGCTGGTTTCTTAGTCCTATATGACAGCAAACAGGGTTTTAAACTGCAGATTGTACAGAACAAAGTCTCTCATATTAGAAATAATTCAGCTGCAGCCTTAAAGTAAACAGACCTCGATAGCTGTGCAGCCAGTAACACAGCTGGACAAAGGAGCAAGTGTTTGCTAAACCAGAGAGGGTTTAGTGGTGCTGAGATTAGTGTTGACTCACCTGTACTCAGTGGTGTAGACCAGGCCGCTGGCTGGCCCCTCAGGTGGGTCCCACCTCAGCACCAGGTTCATGTTGTAGGAGGTCAAGCGGACATTTGTGGGTTGGCTGAGGACTCCTGACACCACTGCACGGTCCAGATCCAAATGAAACGGGACACAAAGGTACACTCAGGGTTGGAGGGGACATTTTCACATGATAAAAAAAAGCAACTGGAGGTTTTCCATTGAGTGGACATGTGGTGCGGTGTGTTCACTGTCCGTCCACCTTCAGTACATTACAGACAGAACTCTACCCGCTGATTTATGTGAATTATTTGATTTTACAAAACTTAAAGCAGGTGGTCTGTGTGGTGCATGTTTTACCATCTTTTTATAGGCTAAATATTTCCACTCAAGCCATAAAACAGTTTCTAATTCAGTGAAAATTCAGATTAACAGCAACATATCCTTCAATTATTACTAAAATACGACCTAAATACTGTTATACTTTTCTCTGTAGTCGTCCTTGTGTGTGGTAACACAGTTCCTCTTAAAGTCCACATACAGTAACAACCGGCCACTTCAGTTCAATGATTAACAGACAGACAGGCAGACCGACAGACAGATCTCACCTCTGGGTCCACATAGTGTTGAGAACGTCAGGATAAAGGCACAGAGAGTAGCTGACATGTTATCCCAAAGGCTCTTCTGTCAAGTGTATGCTATATTCCAGCTCTGTAGTGTGTGTGTGTGTGTGTGTGTGTGTAGATCTGTTTCGTTTATAATAGTTTTGTATTTCCTGGTAGCTCTCGGTAACAAGAGGCGGGGAAGTCCGCGGAAACGAAACTCTTTCCTACTCAGAAACGTCTGGTGCTTCAAGGAACCAGCCTATCAGTGACAGCTGTAGCTCAGTGGCGTTTACTGCGAGTCTGTCGGCTTTCTGAGTAACCGGTGGTGCGCACAGTATGTGCGGCAGTGGCGCACTGAGGCTGGCTGAGGGGGCAGGTGCGAACACAAAAATAAAAAAGGGCACCAAATGATGCATTTATTGTGAAACACTTCCACCTATCATGTTCTGTACATGATATACAGGACACTTTTTTGTTGTCACCACCCACACATTTTTTTTTGCACTGAGCACTTTTAGCCTCCTTAAAGCTGCAGTAGTCATTTTCAAAAAAACATTTTTTGTCATATTTGCTGAAACGTTCACTATATCCCGACAGTAGTACAGATAATTACACAGTGTTCATATCCAATGCCTTCACAGTATGGTCCGGGTCAAATTTGACCTGGTCCAAGAAAGTCCTATAAAAAGTGTTTATACCATATTTTGAACTACAGATCTATTTAGAATATGTAAATAGCCTATCTTACATTAATAAATTCATTATTAATCCTTAATTTATGATTTTAGATAGCATGAGAGTGTATTTTT